AAAAAAAAAAAAAAAAAATACCCAGTACAGCACATGTCATACGATTCATTTGCAAAGACACATATCAAGTTAGTGACAATAAACTGAAGGATCAAGGAGGATCATTATTCAATTCAGATTGAAATAAAGACTTCATGTTAGAACAGTATTAAAAATAGACCAAGAAGAATAAAATGACTTTGAAAACTTTTTGAATAGGCACACAGGTATTAAGTGCATTTTCGAGTGAAGCGAATTGATGTACTGGTTTTGCCTTGCGTTTAACATTTCAATGTAAGGTTTCGATTGCAACGTTAATTTGTCTCAAGAATCAAGAATAAATAAATGAACTATCTATATATAGATGATCGTTCTCTGTCTCCGAAACTTGTTACTTCTAAAGTAGAAGTGCTATAACAAAATACTGGTACTTTTTGTCCCTTTAAGAAGAAGTAAAGGCGAATTTACGTGACCTATATTATAAAAACAATATATAGTAATAAAAAACTTTTAAGTGTGTGGGAGCCATGCTTCGGCATGAATGGGCCCGGCTCGACCGACGCGTCACAGAAAACCGACGAAAAACAATACTTGCGTTGTGTTTCTTTGTGTGAGTGAGGTTACCGGAGGCTCAATTACTCCTCAAAATCCCCAATCCCCGAATCTCCAACAATCCCATAATTCTTTATCCCTAAAAGCGATAAGGTAACGCACTTGTAACGCCTATGGTATTTCAGGTGTCCAAAGGCGGCGTCGACTGTTTACCATCAGAAGATCCGTTGTTTTCTGCTCGTTTATCGTCTAATCCCATAAAAAAGTTAGGTAAATTATACTTTTTTGACTTAAACTATTAAACACCGAGCAGTCACCGGTGACTGCAACCTATTGTTCTATAATTGTGTCTATAACGACGGTACTCGACGAGTTAATCTGCACGCATTTGTTTAACATTCTAGAAATAAAAATTGTTTCTAGAATGTTGTACTCCTAATCTATTTTCATATATATATAACTTTAAAAGAGAAATATGAATGGCATGAACCAACAACATTACTGTACCTAAGTTAAGCTCACATATATTTTTACAACAGGTATTAAAGAACTGCACTTATTTATTATGTGCCACAATTGGTGTCTCAGCCTTGTAACTGTTGTAATTGAATCATATGACACATACATCTAGCTATTACAGAACGATATGAATAACATAAAAATCTGCTGTTATTTTTAATTGCAATTTTTTGTATAAATCTCAGACTTGAATTTAAACTTGTTGACACGTGTGGTTGTAATTTGAGACTAATAATACATAGTAGATAGCTGCTTTAATAATTATAGGTCTTATTAATTGTACTGTTGGGACTCTTTGAAGGTAGAAGAGAATTTAGTTTGGTAAAAAAAGCGTGTCATAACCGCGCTCTTTTTCGTTCGAGATTCGTCAGACCGGCAATACGTTTATCTTGGCCATAGATATATAAATTATCATATCTATCTATCTCGTCGAGTACCGGTTTTGTAGACACAATTATAGAACAATAGGTTGCGGTCACCGGTGACCGCTTGGTATTTGACAGTTTAATGGATTAAAAGAGGTGACGTCATGCTGTGGATGCATGTAGTAGTGTAAACAAATGTTGGTTGCTATTGATAAATAAATAAGAATGTTTGAGAAATCTGACACTTAGGGATTCATTACAGAACTCAATGTTAAGCAGACAGACTAAATAAAAACAACAATACATTTCTTGTAATTCAGCGAAAATACTTTTTCTTGTAATTAGTTCCTACGTGATAATTATACGTATTTCTGTTTCGCGCCTAATTATAGAATTGTTCACTGTATAGGATTGTTTCGTCACAACAGATTTGTTTGTTATTTTGTTCTTGGAAATTAGGAACACAAGTCTGTCCTCAAATGTATAAATAGATATGTTTTAGTCTACATATGTATTAGTTTCCTAGTTACGTATGTATGTATTAGTCCAGTTTATTTAATAACATGGATATTATGTTGGTGTAGATTATCGTAGATACTGCCTAGATATAATATTTATACGATCCTTGATTTTTTTGGGTTGAAAACGGTGCTTTTCGTTGCAATATGTGCATGTAGATTGGAGATACGACTGCCAAAAAGTAATTGCTCGACATGCATACTTCTGCCTCGTTTATTAAAGATCATAATCAATGTGCCCCCGTGCAGTCTTTGTAAATATTCGAATATTTGGTCAACATAACGTACCTAAGAATCAACATAACTTAAGAATTATGTATTAAAGCCTACAGCACCGCCTCTGGCTATGAACCATATCACTTAGAAAATATTAAGACCATTTATTAACGTGGTAAGTGGGTTTCAAGTAAACTGATAGCGATTATGTGTTGATACGTTGTGCCGGTTTTATAGCAACAGGTGCGAATGCTGTAAATAAATAATTAACACAGACTTATCTCAGTACGAAGTTGTAGGTACAGACGGCGACACATAGAGTTGTGTAGAACCAGTTTATTATCGTCTCTCTTTATACTATGTTTCCGCACGTTCAATGGTCAGTTTAAATTGGTTTTGCATAGGTTGATGTGTTACTATGTCTAATCGTGTGTTCTCTTGTTACTAGACTTTCTGACATGTGTAACTTGTTCTGTAGTTCACTATTTATGCAAACATAAACAGAATTTAAATTGCAAAGTGCACTGAATGAAAAGCAGTAAAAGGTAATAAGTGTAACGTTTTAATATTTATAGTGCAGTTCCTATAAAAGATTATCTAATTTTTTAAGAATAATATTTATACAATTTTCTATTTAACATTGAAAGTTATATTAGTGTTTATATAGGTTTCTAAGTTTCAAAGTACGTTTCAATCGAATGAAGGTTTTAGAGGGATTCCTGTTTCCACAAACATGACGTTAGTTTGTATATTGTGAGAAAGTCAGTAGGCGTATATATTAAACTATGTACTAAAGTACCCTCTTTGAAGAATAATTTTAATAAAGATTCTATTTAAGAAAACTGATTCAGTAACACTGTCTACAGTGACAAAGCTGGTATAGAAATTCCGAGTCTTTCTGATCATGAACGAACTGCCGACTTTCAAACGATGCATTTGCTTGACTGTATAATTATACTATTTGCGTAAGTTTCAAGCTAATCGGATATTTTGTCTTATTAGTATTTTTTTTTTATTCTATTATTATTTTCTTACCATTTTCAATTGGTTGTGTTGGCGTATTTAATTGGTTAAACCCAAGCGTTAGTCGAAGAAAATAAAATACAAAATATGTATAAATTCGTATATCAACAAAATACATAATCGATATAACTAGGAAGTATTATATTATAATCTGAGCAAGTCACTGGGCAATGATATCACCAAATTCGTTTATAGGATGTATGGGGATGATAGGTATCTGGCGAAGTAGGGTGACGCTGGTGCGACGAAGGGAGCGGCGGGGGCGGCGACTAGAGGAGCAGCAGCGGGGGCAGCTACGTAGGGGGCAGCGGCGGGGGCAGCGACGTAGGGGGCGGCAGCGACGTAAGGGGATGTGACGACTGGAGCAGCCACGGCGTGGTTCACGGCATGAGCCGAGTAAGAGCTGGCGTATGGAGCCACAACCGCAGCAGAAGCTACTGGCGCGACCAACGCAGCCGGGGCGATAGCTCCAGCATTCGCAGCGGCCACAGCGAGGGCGAATACAACCTGCACAAACAATCCACCAAGTTATACCACAATCCTAGTGTTAGCGCAAAGGTGACTTGAATTCAAAATGAATAATTAGATGCAATTGTGATTCGACTTTCTATCGATAAAGTCAAGTATAATTCAATCCACATTCTGAAGATTTCTGCTAATATTTGAATTTCTAACGACACATTGAATTGGGTAACTTAACAATTTGAATACTGTTTTTGGAGATTGTGACCTATTTTCTTGTACAGATTAACATGGTAAACCATGTGACTTGCTTACATTTATAAAATCATCATGGTCAGCAATGTGACTTGAGCTATATTTGCACATATTCATTTGAATTATTTAATATTACGTTATATCTAACTTGAAAGATTTCACTTGTTTTGCACAGGTTTTATAAATAATCCTAGTACTGGAAAACGGGTCTGATGTTTTTCAACGCACTAGATTTATGAACCAAAGAAGTTTCAAAGAAAACACTCACAACGAATTTGGCGATCATTTTGCTTGGGTGGTGTGACTGCTCACAAGTGATTACACTGAAAAATCCGATGGACTGTGCCGTCTCCAGGGCATCGTCACGTTTTATACCACTACTGTTTTCGTTGAGCAATACTGTGGACGAACAACGCATGTGTGGCTAAATAATGCGTAGGACATCGTTGTTGGCTCGCGGTTGATTTTTGACCCAGACTCGGTCGACGGTCCGAGCATTCTAATTTAAACTCTGTGCACACCAATTTCACTGTTTGTTATATAACTGTCAAAAGGGAAATTCACTGGAACATTTTTGTTTTACATGAAGTTGTTTGTAAGGATAGACCTAAGTTGTTACCTGCTGTTTAGAAGTAGGTCAGGGTGGTTTAGATGCTTAGATTATGCCGTTGTGCAGTCTTTCTGTACGATGGCGTAGTTTTGCAATACAAAATTGACTTTCTTACAATGGAGATAAACAAATGCATGTTTTTGTTTTCAGGAGTACAATCTTAAAAGGTTAACTACAATTCTTCTTTTGTTATTTATTTCCATTCTTCTATTTCCTTTACGTCCAGTTTTATTTCCTTCAGTACTTGCCCAGCATCTGCACTAACTGTACGGGCATTGTTGTTTTTATTTGTATCTTTGTTATAATTCTATATATTTGTATAAACAATAATTTCCTCAATCATTCGAACACCTAATGCTATGGGTCATGTAATCCTCCTCTGTGTCTAGCATATCAATTACTAACCCATGTGTGTGATGGTAGCCAGAAGTAAATTACACACCATATCGTAAACGCAATGGCTGATTCATTGGTTCTAAGGAAAACAGTTCACTTATCATAAAAATACGGTTTTGTTGATATACGTGGTAAAATCTTTTTTTTTGGTGTGTAGGTATTTTGAATGCCGTTTGGACTTTTAATGGTCGTTCCATTTGCATTGAATCAACAGAGGATTGTTAGTTCACACTCGTACATGTCTTGCTGCAGAAATTGCACGCAAAGAAAAAAGTTTCACAACGGAATGTTTCCCAATGTGCTCCATTTCTCCGCGCACGCCTCTGCGAATCCCAATTGACCGGCCGCAATACGTCAAATGTTTATTTTGTCGGACGATAACTGAATCACAATATACAAGGTATAAAAAGCCAATACTTTTTCTTGATAGTCACACTTCACATTCTCTTTTCGTTAAGGAAGGCCCACTAAAAATCACGCAAGATGTTCTCTTTCAAATCTGTAAGTATAATAACAAAAAAAATCTTTTTTTTCATAATAGCATAGCATAAACTACAAAAATAGCATAACTGATTCTAATATATTTCCTATTGCAGATCGTACTGATCGCTGCGGCTTTCACCATCGGGGCGGAATGCAGTGTAGGCGTGCCAGTGGCGGCTGCAGCCCTAGCTGCTCCTGCAGCAGTGGGGTATGCCCACGCTGTACCTCAGAACATACCACCGTACGCCGCGCAGGTCAACGTTGTGAGCAAGTCACTCGCTGCTCCCCTAGTCGCTGCGCCACTCGCTGCCGCTCCTTTCGCTGCTGCTCCTTTAGCCGCTGCTCCACTAGCCGCTGGTCCTTACGTTGCCGGTCCGTACGCCGCCGCACCTCTAGCTGCAGCGCCATACGCTGCTGCTCCTTACGCCGCTGCTGCTTATGCCGCTGCTCCTTACGCTGCTGCTCCTTACTTCGCCGGCCCTGGACCAGTGGTTCCCGCTCCATTAGCTGGTCCTGCTCCTTATGCGGCCCCCTACGCCTACGGTGCAGCTCCCTTGGTGCGTGCCAGTCCCTTCGGCTACGCCCCAGCGTACGTGCGATAGATTAGAAAAGAATACTTGACTGACCTTCCTTCTAATAAGACTTGTATCAAAGATTAGGCTATTTTTTATATTTTTGTACAATAAATGTTATTAAAAATTAAGTTTGAATTTTAAATTATTCTTTAGAAATGATGGTAATGATAGAGAGATTCTCAATCTACATCATTAAACTGTCAAACACCAAGCGGTCACCGGTGACCGCAACCTATTGTTCTATAATTGTGTCTACAAAACCGGTACTCGACGAGTTAAGACTTAAACATCTAGGTCAATCTTGCAAAGTGATTTGAGATAAAGCATGATTGGTCACATGCCTGCCTCGTTAGCCGAGTGGCCGCAAGTGCGACTGACGGGCAAGGGGTCTCGGGTTCGATTCCCAAAGTATTACTGGGTTTTAATAAAAACCCAGTAGTAGCACGGAGTCTGGAAATGTGCCCAGTATATGGCAATATAGGCTCACCCCTATTACATGGCACTCATAACATAAATAGTGAAAAGTGGGTGTTACCACTGTGTGCCCCTCTGCCTACCACTTCGGAAATAAAAGACGAGATGTTATGCATGATTGGTTAGTACTACTTTTTCTTTCAATATAATAAATACTTTTATTAACCGACTTCAAAAAAAGGAAATTCTCAGTTTGACCAGTATATTATATACATACATACTGGTCAAACTGAGAATTTCCTTTGTACAAACATATTGTGCGCGATTATCTAGCGATTGGCTGAACTAATTTTAATGCGGTTTTTCAGAAAAGTGTTTGTTATACTTACGAGAAGGTTTTAGTATATTAACCAATTAAAAAAGAAGAGGTTGATGTCGGTTTCTTTAAATGAAGTAGTTTATAAAACAAGTATTATTATTGTTTTGATTTACCATCTTTACAATAGAAAAATACTGGAATAATTTACGGATCAATGTCCTATCGGAGATGGATATGGTGGAACGACTCGATCACAGCAGTGGCTCATGTTATATCAATGAATTAAATCGGGACTACCCTCTTCAACCGTTAGACAAAGCTCCTGTCAACGTGATAAAATAATCTTCGTAAAGTAGTTTCAAGATGACCCCAGCTTGGTAGGATATTGAACTCGCTTTATATGGATCAGGCAGACCATAACATAGAAGATCGGTCATAGGGTTTTTAATGTAAGAAATATATTTTTTAAACCTAAGGCACATAAAACAATGCTTATGAAGATACAATAACAGTAAAAAGAGCAAAAAGAACATTCTAACAATAATAGTATAATTTAATTAAATTCTTAAACATTATTATGATTTATTCACCTTATTTCCTCTTTATACTTACTATTGTCTTTATTTATGTACACTAAGCAATGTTGATTTCAATTCAAACATACCAAAGCAGAAACTAATAGCTATTCAATTGGTCTTATGTGAGGACTGATGTTGTTTTTATTTTATTAGTATTGTATTAGTTAGTATTGAACCAAAGGATCGATGACAGGACTATATACATAGTTAAATAAATCAAAGTATATTGTAATATTTATATTTGCATAATTTATTTACAAAATTTGGTATCAAAAACCTATAACTAAGTTTTAACTAGATAACAATGACACTATAACACTTAGATAAGACTAGATTCATTTCCACGCAAACTGTTTGAGGATTGGTGCAGGGCCGTATGGTACGGGACCATAGGGAGATATACTGATTGGTGCCCTAGCAACGGGTACGGGTGCGGGGGCGTAAGCTGACGCGTACAATGGGGCGGGCTGGGGTACAGCCACAGGCCTTACAATAGGTGAGAATGCTGCTGCTGGTAACGCAGGCACGGCACGAGCGTAAACTGGTGCTGGAGCCAAAGCTGGAGCTATTCTTGGGTACACTGGCGCTGGGAATACAGGTGTAGGTGCGGGGAATACCGGGGCTGGTGCCGGTAATATGGGAGCTGGTGCTGCGAAGACTGGAGCCGGTGGTGGGAGCACTGGGGCGGGCGCTGCGAATACTGGAGCTGGCGCTGGTAGTACTGGAGCCGGTGCTGCGAATACTGGAGCAGGCGCAGGGAAAATTGGAGCAGGCGCAGAAAAAACTGGAGCAGGCGCTGGGAACACTGGAGCAGGCGCAGGACTTGCGAACACTGGAGCCCGCGCCACCACTGGAGGAGCCACTGCCACCGGAGCGGCCACTGCATGTATTGACCTTGCACCGTTTGGGAAGTTGTAGAATGGAGCGTACCGGACTACTGATAATGATTTGAAGAGAGGAGCGATGTGTCCGACGCCACTAGCATTACAGCTAGCTATAAGGGCGAGCGCAGAAATGACCTGTAAGGAAATTAACAAAAATTAATAAATTAACTCAAGTAATTTAAGAAATATAAAGATATTGCTAATGAATCAACACTTACTAATCTTACGAAGGACATTTTAATTTGATAATAGAACTCGGTCAGTCGAGTGTCAACGATGAAGTGTATCGATGAATGTGTTACTTGTCGTTATATAGTTCATACTGTTGCAAGCATTACGTCTATGTTGGTAGCAGTCGGTTTCACTTTCCTTAGGCAGGACTCGCGCATGCTCAATTAGGTGACGAATGGACACCATCGGTTACCGAATATGTCAAAGCAGTAGCCTTTAGTAGGAATATTATATAACTGCAACTATTTGACGGACGCTTAAGTGCCCTTTCGGGCCAAATGTTGGGATTATTTTAATTACATTTGGCCTTGTGGTGCAAAATTTGCAGAATATTTAATTAGGTCTCAGATTCGTGTTTTAAGATTATTATGGCATTTTTGACTTGGAATAAGCACAAGTTTGATGGACGGAACTTCAGGTAATATAGAGTGTTTAAGCTATGGCACGATCCGTCTAAAACTAAGTTAGGAAATGCCTGACTTAACATGATACGTATTCCTTTAATAATACTATTGAATTAACCAAGTAGGTAATATGCATAAAAGACATATTGAATTCAAAGTAATCATTAAGAAAGACAACAATCACTTAGACATTATTTATGAAGCAAACACGACATGAAATAACTGTACATTTTATAGTAACGAGACAATTTGCATTAATACGCATAAATAATAGATTTTATTACAACTAGAAGATTTATCAATATCGGTGACACTTATTGACGGTAGATCACATACCGATGGTAACTATAACTATTATATGTTTAACAAAATAATATAATATGTTGAATAGCAGTAAATTGATTTCGGCAGCACGCTTTTCGTAAAAACAGACATTCGTTGTTGAGAGTTTTGTTCTAGTGAAATTAAAATGCCACATTATTCGAAGTTTTGTAAAATTAAAACCCGTGATATTGTTGATCATCACTGGAAACAGTATAATGTATTGCTCTTTAGCGCCAGTATTGACGGATAAAGCAAACGCTTCGTTTCGCTTCCTAAAACTTCAAGAAAGTATTACGATAATATGATGTTTTTATACTTCTTGTTTAAACTTCTTGTTCTTTTATACTTCTTGTTCTTGTTTATTTTACTGTGAACGGTAAAATTCTTCTGGTTTCTTAGAAAACATTACCCTATTGATTAGGATGAATTTATCTTTCTGTTTTATTTTGGATTTCCATGGCCTTAGCAATAAAAATTAACCATTAATTTCGTACGAAATTTCAATTTCAAAAATGCGTCACTCAAACGATATTATTTTAATTCTATATCTACTGTATAATTAAGTAGATCGTGCTAATTAGGTACAAAATTTACAATATTTAATTTCCGTAACACAACTAAGTCTGAGGGAATGTATCTAGATACGCGCTATTTCTTTATTATTATTTGTGATTAAAATGTCAATCACCAGTAATGCTTGCCAGTTAATATCTGTTAGATCAAGAATTGTAAGAAATACTAAATATGAGTTTTTGTACTGATAAATACTGATAACTTGCGTTAGCGGGGAGTCTTATTGGAATTCCAGACACTTACTATTTACTTGATTAATCAATGGAGTACCTAATATAACAATGTGCCCATAGAAAAGAGAGAACAATAAATACGTTTTGTTTTCTAAGTGAGTAAGCGAGAATCTTTTTACGACGGAATCTAACTCCCCGGCCCCCCATGACTGGATGCCCAATTCTCAAATGTCCCCATTCTCTAAAACCCCTATCCTAACATTTCTAATCATCAAAAGCCTGGCAACGCACTTGTAACTCCAATTGGTGTTTTGGGTGTACATAGGCGGCACCGATTGCTTAACATCAGATGATTCGTCTGCCATACCGTACCGTGCTTTAGCTGGCCATACCGTACCATAAAATAACCGTTTATCCCTGACTGAGAAATCGGTATATGAGGCGATAAGTCAAGTATGTTTGTATTTATGACAGACAGAAAAATGTTACAAATCTAATCAAGTGACATTCATGCTGCGTTAAATTAAGAGTAAGGAAAGTGGCGGACTTTCCTGGTTCTAAGAAAACAACCAACAATCAATTCAATCAAGGGCGGATTCAACGATTTTCATTATTTCGAGAATCGACGCCTTTGTAAGATATTTGTACTTTTTATTACTGGGTATTTTGCAATAAGTAAAGTATTTCGCAGCCACTCTAATACAATAAAAAGGTTCTCAGAATTATTTCTTATTGTACACCTTGTTGTTTCAATTTTCTATCCCTAGAATCCCTTCATTTTGTAAACATGTTTTTCTTGTAATTCGTTGGTGTGTTGGGTGCAAGTACGAGCTCATGCTGGGTCAAATCTCAAGTTTTTTTTTGTGGTATAAGCCGGATCATCTGATCTGTAAGCAGTCGGCGCCGCACATGTACACCCGAGGCCGTTACAAGTGTGTTACCAGCCATAGGGGGATTATGAATTTGAGGGGATTCAGGGATTGGGGACATTGGTGAGGAGGGTAATTGGACCTCCGGTAACCTCACTCATACTACAAAAACACAACGCAAGCGTTGTTTCAAGTCAGTTTTCTGTGTATCATTCCGGTCGAGCCAGCCCATTCGTGCCGAAGCATGTCTCTTCTACACTATGTTTAGTGACGAAAGCGATGGTGAAGTATAACCGTAGTGTTCTAGGTGATGTGGTAAATATATAAATAATGTGTAGTATAATGTATTTTTGGAGTATCACATGAAACCTAAAAATACAATAGGGAAAATAACACAGGTTCTGTAACTCCATTATACTACAGTTCTGTACGATTTATATGAAATGTTACAAATGAAAGATCAATTATGTAAATATTAATTGTTGAATTAGTTCACGGATGAAGGACGCCCTCGATATTATGCGAGTGAACAGAATCACTATGTATGGATCGAATCGTAATTGCTAAGCGCGTCACTAGTCCATCTTATTTGTATTCATACTTGTACCTGACGACACACGGTGAGTAAGGAGAAATGGTGTTGCGAACGGATAGAACTTAAATTCTTTATTGTAATATCGATTATCAATACTTCTTTTTTACTTTTAATAAACTCTAATGGGTGTTTAATTAATCAAACTTAAAATTAATTTTTAATTTAAAATGCACGGTAAGTAATTCTAAATTAGTTTATGTATTTGCAACGAAATTAACATTTGTTTAATACTTATTTTTATTGTTCTCATTATTCTAATGCCATTTTTTTACAATTCATAAAAGGTAATTTAGAAATAACGTTAAATAAATAAATAAATTATAATTTTAATTTATATATGCAGGCCCTACAGTTTTCTTAGTAGATATAAATATGCTAGTTATTATTACGACACGCTTACTATTTGTAAGTAATTTAAACACAACATTACAGAAGTAACTAAAACTCAAAGTGCGAGCTTTAAATTGGTACACACAAAGGAAAACTAAGAAGGTCCCGTTTCCAAAGCGGCACGTGTTTCGCAAATGGCAAAGAATGAAGAAAAGTTAACGAAACACATTTCAATACACGTGACACTTAGCGAGATTGAGAACGAATTGTTTTATTAAATTTGTTTTTATTGGACCGCAAGAAGAAAATGTTCCATCCTCAGCCCACGTTCTCTCGCTCTGACCTAGTAAACGTAAAAACTTCCTTGGCACTACCAAACGATAGTACCCGTATGGGTGAACGTCAAAATATGACACTCACTTTTTGACGTGAGGTGCATTCTATGTGAGATGATTGGCTATTTAAAGCCAAGGATACACTAGGAGACAAATACCTATGTCCCACAACATGTATCGGCGACGTGTCAAACGAAGCCTGCCGAATTCGCCCGACATATTATGTTGATGTTGATGTTGCCAGACATATCTGTAAAATTTCGGCAACGTCGCGCTACTTCACCCAACGTCGCTGGCGACGCGTATCGTAGTACATTAGCCCCTAGTGTATCCCTGGCTTTAAAATGAGATTTTTTTACATATTGATACATTGTTGAGAATTTGGTAATGGAAAATCTTATATAGAGCGGGTTTATAGTACAGCTGTGAATTGTCAATGGATGTTGATGAGGATCATCATCCTCATCAACATGTCAGCCACAAGACGTCCAGTGCGGAACATAGCCTTCAATGACTTCCAGATCCGCCGTTTGGAAACAACCTGTATCCCGAGGGTACTGATCATGACAAAATGATAAAAAATTTCCGACTCTAGAATGTTTTTTATCAAAGCAAACGCGAGATTAATGCGACACAGTTCTTTAAGGCATAAAAGCACGGTTCGAATTTAGTGTACAAAACTAAAACTTACCACGTCTTACAAGATGATGAAACCTAAATCTTTCCAAATGAAAGATTAAAGAAGCACTTTCAGCTTATAAAGAAACTAGGTTGTATACTTTTCTTCAATTTAAGATTACTAACAAGCCCACACATACTTACTTTAACGAATTTCTTAGCGTAGGACTCTGTTATATTTTCGTTTTAATTTTGATATTGTAAGCTTACAGTACATACATATTGTTTGAGTTGTGTACCTTAATTTTATTATTTTCATAATAACTGAACTTGTGACATTTAACTTGTAATACTAAGTAATTTTAAACTTTACCAGACTCAATCTAGGAAAGTCAGAAAATATTTCATAATATTGTATTATAATTTCGTTTCATTCATGCCTCTATATATTTTTTTATTATAATATGCTTATTAGGTAGTATAAGTATTTATTGAGAAAACTAGGTATCAAATATTTCTTTACTGATAGAGTGAAAACAAATAATCATTATTACTGTGTAGACTGTGTGCCTACATAACAGCAAATTCGGTAAATGGACTAAATGACGCCGCCGCCACGTATTATACTTATTACTTGAAAATATGACACGTTTCTGTCCAAAGTAATATATAAAGAACAGTGTTATTATTCAAACACGTATCTGAATTTATCTTTAAAGATACTCCTACACTTAATTTAATTCTAGTAAAATTCTTTCACCGACCATTTAGGAGACAATCAATAAAGTATTCTTTTTTATTGACAAACCTTCTTGAATTACAAATCGTTACGGAAACACTTAAATATTTACACTTGCACAATAAAAAGTACTTTTTTCTTGAACGAACGTTCGCAGAATCTGAATTGCTAAGAAAGGATCACTTAGGTTGTTCAGACATCAGTGTGGGTGTATAAGAAACTAAAGTACTGCGCAGTTAGACTTCCTCGTCAACAGTCTTATAAAGGAAAGCCTTCAAGATATTCCATCGTTTTGGTTACTATTCGATTCAAAGCCTAAAATTATGATAATTTTCTTACCATTCCATTGAAATCTTTTTAAGGAACTGAAATCGATACTGCGAAGACATACAAACAAATATTTTTTTCTGTGATTACGTACTTAGATATGTTTATCAAAATATTATCGCTTTATACAGAAATAGGCCACAAATTTCCCTTTTGTTTATGGCTTCTTTATGTAACTCGTACCGAGTTTTGTACATAGCCAAATTACTTCTGCCAAGGACTGCGGGAAAACTTCCTTGAAACTAAACACACGACTTTGATCACGCACAATAACATGCGTAAGTAGCTGCTTGTATGGTTTGATGGTGACAAGATTTTTGACAATGAGTTGACAATCATAATCAAAATAATGTTGTTACTCTGTAATGTAAGGAATGCTTTGTCTATCACAAAGTTATGAAATTCCATATGAGAGCAGGTGGCTAGACTATTAATAGGTACGTTGGTAGAAAACTACTTACTTCTTGCATTTAAATTCTAAAACTATAATATACAGTTTATCAAGTCATCATAGCTAGAATTAAATTAGACAAATATGTGTAGTTTAAAGGTAAGCACTAAAATTTTTATACGTTTGCCATGCTGTGTTAATCAATAAATATTAAAAAAAGACACGAGTATGTTATAGATATGTATTCTTCAGTACAAAAAATGGGCTAAGATTCAGTCGTCATCACAGTTTACTTAAGAGCAACAAAGGGAGCAGAGGGAGCGAAGTAAGGAGCGGCAGCGTACCGGGCGAAAGCGGGGACTACTGGGGCGGGGGCAGCTACGTAGGGAGCAGCATAGGGAGCAGCATAGGGAGCCACGACACGAGCCGCTGCTGGGGCAACGGCATAAGGAGCGGCTACATAAGGAGCAGGAGCTGCCACTAATGGGGCAGGAGCAGCGACGACTGGGGCAGGGGCAGCGACTAAAGGAGCAGCGGCGGCGTACACTCCGTTGTAGTTCCTGGCGACGTACTGAGAGCTGGAGGCTGTGACGAAAGGAGCTGGGGCAGCCACAACGGGCGCTGCAGCTACAAGGGGAGCGGCTACTGCGCTGGGCTTGGCAGCAGCCAGGGCCAGGGTGGCGAGGAAGAATACCTGAAATTCACAATATTTATTTGTAATTAATGTTATTTTGATAATTAATTAACTATTTAAATGGTTATTTTTAAAATACTCACAATCTTGTACATTTTGCTAGGTTTGGTTGTGTCTGTCTGTTGAACAGATGATGTGAGTGTGATGTCTGAAGTTTGGTGACATTACCTTTTATACTGTACCGAAGTAAGATTCACCTTGTGTTGTGTTTCGTCATCGATTGCAATGTCTCAATGGCTCGTTAGACGCTGGGCACGCAACGGGGACGAGACATTACGACAGTAAAGCTGGACAGACTGATAACATTATTGCACTAGTACTACAATTTTGGGCATTACCTTCAAAATAAATACATACACATCAATAATATTATGATGAAACCAGTATTATAATTGACATTAACGGTTCGTAGAAAACTGATTTTCTCAGATATTGTTATCATAAATAGCGAGATGTAGGAGGTTCAAACAACATTGTTACGTAGTAATTTTATGTCACCTTCTTCGTCTAATTACATTCAAGAATTTGATAGCTTTGTATCTTCTAACGCATGTATTTTTAGCACCTATTTGATATGGCATTTAAAAATTATAAAAATATTTCACTATTTTAGTGGCAAGACGAAGACTGGTTTCAGTCATGGACTGGATAGTATCACAAGCAAAGTTTGTCAATCTAAGACAATTAAAAAAATTACATGCGGAATCGTGTGGAAAAAAACTCGTAGTAAATGACACCTCACACTGCTGATTTAGCAGTATTTGAAAGCACACAGTAATTTACAGTATCATGAAATCATATTTATGCTACGAAAATATTTATACAAGATGCTACGCTACTCCGTGCTACGAATCTTGCTACGAAGCAGACGAACCGTTATCTCCATGACGCACTATGGACGATCTCACGTCACGTCCGTACAAACAAATTATATCGTCTTCGTTATGACATACGTTTGCTTGTAGTTCACGTCAACAACAATGTTATGATTATTGATATTACATCTCCATTTTATCAGATGTCTGTGTTGTTATTTTTGCGACCACAAATAAGGTTTCTATTGTATGTTATTTGTGGTTTGTATTGATGTAATACAATAATATTTTGGGTATTGTATTTTTAGACGTCAAATGATTAATTAGAATTGTTGATATTTCGTTCTCTATTCCTTTTAGACCAGTACTGATTGAAAATATTGATGTAGTGTTTGATATCATAAATGGTTATATTATGTAGTTGTGTAGGATGATTTGAATCCATTTCTGTTTTGATCTTTTCTATTTTGAATTTATTTAGGTTTTTACGTGAATGTCGCCTTGCTGCACAGCAAAACCCATAACAAATAGATAGTTACGGACCTTGAATCGATGCATTTAAATGAGGAAATGCATGAAAGGGATGGAAGTTAAATAAGTATGTGAGAGTCGTAGAAATTGACCTATATTATATTTCCGTTTATCCTTCTAGGCCTACGACCTGAGTTTTTATGCACAAATACCTATTTCTTTCCTTGTAAAAATAATTTAATTCAATTAGCTAATAGGGGTCAAATTACACAATAGAATATGAGAAGCTTTTAAATATAATATAATCCCATTTCCGAGAGTTTTCTATCAACTGTAAACTTGAATGGAAAACTAAACGTCATTAGACTGTAATACTCTCGCAACAATATATTTTCTTGAATAAATTCAAAAGGTCACGTAATATAAGCCCTTGTAACTCCCATTTTCTTCCAAGATAGTTGTTTCTTAAGTTCTGTCATATCCTGTGAACATTTTCCATGTTCCTATTTCCGTCACAAAGCTCAAACGGGAATGTCATCGCTCGAGATAACTGGCAATTAGTAGTTTTATTACATTGAATGTTCATCTAGTCGTATGTCCGATATATTCTTGTTTGTTTTATTAATATAGGATTATATTTCAGTCATTTCATAAATAGATGTACTTACATATATAGATTTAACCACAAAGTAAGTGTTGATTAACTGGTGTAGTGGATATGTTAGTGCCTCTATTTTCTACGACGTCCTCCAGTCATAAAAACCCCATTATTCCAAGAATGTCATTAGAAAGAATTAACATTAATGCTAAATTGAATACTCCTTCAGGCTCTATGTTGTTTTAACGTTGCTTCAAATACTACCCTTATATCGTAGTTATATTAAAACAAAACAATTTAATATTTATTATTCCTAAGCCACCGACCTAAGGATTCAAATGTAATTTGTAGTGAGTAAAACCACACCCTGGAATTGTATCGTAAAATAAAATATAAATATTATGTAAGGCAGTGTTATATCAGACACGACTTATGTACCAAATCCCGATTTGATGTATTCGTATTTAGGAAATTAGGTTCGAGTGTTGGTAACGCACGATTTTGTTACCTCTATTGAATACTAAGTGATACTTACCTTCGACTACGTTAAGTAAATAAATAAAACGTATTTGATACAGCTGTGATATTGTATTTTATTTTTCTATCGGCAACAGACATGCTTGCTTTTTGCTATTACATACTAATAAGTGTACACTTATAACTAACTAAATGTACTTTTTTTACCCAATTGCAATCATTTTCGATCAACGACATATTTCGAAATATTATGTTTATTTGCACAAAGTCTGAATATCCTCAACTCTGTATCCTGTCACAGGGTAAGGCATATGAAATGACATGGGCCGGCCGACTTAAGTTGCGGATAGCAGCTATGCTCTTCCACTAATAAATAAGACTGAATAAGGTAGTACCTAGTAACATTCGGATGATTCGTTACTATAATGCAATATTACGTAGCTTCTAGAGAAATCTAATTAACGGCCATCCAGCTAGTTCGGATAAAAACATTTGGATGAGAGTTTCTAAAAAAGTGATATTTCAAACCCATATAGGAAATGTAACCTTATGCAAAATATGTACAATTGGCACATTTGACATATTACCCATCTCATGCTGCGTGGTAGTGAATACACTTTACGCTCACATAGCATTTTATCGTCAAGTATCTGAAGCACGTCGTCATTTGCTTCTTAATGTACTCCACATTATGTAGCACGTATGCTGAGATATTTTAAACTTACATCGTAAAGAATAAGAGTTCTTAATCGATTGTCACCACTATTTTTGTGTACCTATAAGTAGACAATCTTCTAGATTTATCGCCGATTACTGAGTCATGAATCATGTGTTTGGTTCTTACATAGAATAAAATCATCAATATACATTATATCTTATATTTCAAAATACTTTGACGTTGAGTTTATTAAGAATATTTGTTTTTGAAAGTGTCAAAATAATTTAATTTTGGTAGCACAAATGTTACATTAGCTTCGCGCGGTACTATTAAGTTTCCTAACTAACAACTTAATATTTCAAGTGCATCATATGTCGCATAACATAATAATAAATTCATGGAAAACCCCTTGCTTGTCATGCAAATGTCACTTTCGTTACACTACTTTATAGGGCCAGTGTCATTGACAAAGCGTGCACGTCTCCCAAGCATCAGTTGTGCAACTAATAAATGTCTGGTTGGCCTAGACCGAGACTATTAACGATGCAACGACGTAGAAAATGTGCGTCAGTAATTAAAACAAACACGTACAAAAGTATAAATATAGATCTATATTCTTTCATTCATAACCATAATTATTTACAAAGTGCAGTTTTATTAACAAGTGTAAAAATTGACTAATTAATTATTATACTCTAGGTGGCTTGGTGTTGGGCCGAGGGAACGGGCTTGATGTAGCGACTTCTATGTCTCTAGCATTAGCACGCAAATTCTGGGAATGAATTTTCTTTATCTTCACCACACGAACAGGTCTCTTCACTGTACTCACAGGTCTCACGATGATTTTGGCGCTTGTTGCCGGTACATACGTATAAATGTGTTTTACAACTTTCACGTGGGCATGGGTTTTGTGCAGTGGTGGAGGACTGACGTAAGCCAACGGAACTTTAACGACTTCTACTGAGGTTTTCAGCTTTTGTGGCCTGGCTTTATGCTGAGGCCAGGGTTGTTGAGGTGCTTGATACACTGGACGGGGATGTTGTGGTGGCGCCTGGGGTTGGTATTGTGGGTGAGGTTGCTGTGGTTGCGGTAAATGGTGAAATTGTGGCCGTGGTTGCTGTGGTTGTGGCAATGGTTGATATTGCGGGTGTGGTTGCTGTAGAGGAAATTGCCCCTGTGGTCTTTGTTGTGGAAACTGTCCTTGTGGCCTTTGTGGGAACTGTGGTGGGAACTGTCCCTGAGGTCTATGTTGTGGGAACTGTGGTTGTTGTGGTTGGAATTGAGGACGTGGTTGATGTTGTGGGTACTGTCCTTGAGGTTGCTGGTGTGGGTACTGTTCCTGAGGTTGCTGTTGCGGGAACTGTCCCTGAGGTCGCTGTTGCGGGTACTGACCTTGAGGTTGCTGTGGCTGAAATTGTGGCCTTGGTTGCTGCTGAGGAAATTGGCCCTGCGGTTGTTGTGGCTGGAACTGTGGCCGAGGTTGAGGTTGGAACTGAGGACGAGGTTGATTTGGTTGAAACTGTTGATTAGGCGGGAACTGGGTGCTCTCTGGAGGTAAAGGTGCTCCATATTGATTGAAATTCACGTCTTCATTAGAGGGCAGCGCTTGTTGCACAAAGTTATCATCACTGCTCGATGGCAACGGTGTAGTTTGTTCGGGCTCTGGAGTCGTTGTTGCCTCAGTTTGTGTTGTAGATTGAGGAGTCGTCGGTTCCTTGTTATTCTCATCGGGTGCACTGGTTGGCTGTTCTTGAGGGATGAAGCCGAAGTTTGGTGGAAATCCAAACGGATAGGGTGGTAGCAATATAGTTGCGACAGGTGCGGCAGCGTGGGCGGTTGCAACCGCTATTGCTACATTGGGGTTAACTGGCGCTGGTTGAGTTGGTTGTGGGTTAACAGGGACAGGAACTTCTTGTGTAGGTTGCACAAATACTGTTGGTGCAGGTGCAACTGGGAACACTGGATGTAAAGGTGGAGGTGCCACGGGAGCTACGGGGGCAACATGAGCTACCGGAGCAACGGGAGCTATCACTTGAGGTACAACTAATCGGTTGAAGGTTCTTTGAAAGTATTGTGAACTAGCAGCTGTGACTACTGGAGCGCCAGCTACTGAAGCAGGTCCTATAGCCG